GAAGAATAAAACTTGTGAATTAATGAATATGAACATATTTTTCTTTTTTTTTAATGATTGGTTATTGTTTTTTTTATATAAAATTGACGAAGTGAATAAAAGGAAACACTCGTTTCGCGTCGCGTCGGCCATTTATTTTGACAGGTTCCGCGCCTGCGTTTCCTTATTGTGAAAATTTCGAAGTAGGGGACTGAGTCCAGTTTCTCTACTATGCACACTGCAGCGCGCCTTATAATCTTCGCCTGTGTTTCAATGCTCTTTACAGTGACATTTGGAACTAAGGCCCTCTATACACTATACGCAACACCCTAAGATGCTTGATGGAAATGAATTAATGTACTTTTACTGGACTGAGTTCACTTTTTTCAATATTGACTCCCAGTTTTTCAAACTCTATTTTTCTCAGTGTAATAATGCCACAGGAGTAAATCGCCAAAATATAAACAAACACGGTCTTTCCAAAGTCAAAGCATATTATACTTATTCAGACTTTTCCTTAAAAATATTTCTCTTTTACCTCATTATTAATTATTATTAATTAATTAATTATTATAATTTTAGTAATATAATATATACTTACCTTGATTTTGATACATTTATAAATATTGTCCACAGTATTTTAACATCAACGTATTCTCACAAACAAATTTATAAGTTCACAATATATATTTTAAATATTAAATTAAAAATATTTTTTTAGATGTGAAAAATTTCTATATATGTATATATATATATATATATATATATTTTGTCTGTTCGCATTTAGTTTGTCTGTTCGCCGTTAGAAGGGACATAGAGCCCCCCGCTGCGAGGGCTACTTGGAATTGAGTCCCAAACAACCTTCATACCGGGGGTCGCTCGGACCCTTAAACCCTCATTAAGGAAAACTGCTAATGACTTTTCTATTAATAATGAAAAATATAAATTTTTAAATAGTAACATTTTCAACTTTTAAATTAACATATTTAAATTCCTTACTTTTTCACGATTTTATACATATGTTGTTTACCAAAAAAATGTTAAAATTTAAAGATTAAGTTAAATGGTATTTGCTTCAAATACTGCAAATATTGGGTCAAATAGCATTAAAGTGATTTAGATAACAGTAAATATTTATTTAATAATAGGTATATGGTTTTTGGTAGAGTTAACTTCATTCTATGTATCTGGAAAAAATAATTAATTTAATTAATTAATTATATTCTAGAAATAACTAAAATATTTCTAAAATCCACTTGTTTACAAGACAATTTCATGAAATTTTGAATAATTTAAAAATTTTTCAATTAAATATTAGGTACATATTTAAAAACATAACTAATTTGAAAAAATGTGAATATAAATATTTTTAAAAACTGACTTATTCAGAATTTTTAATTAAAATCTTTTAAAATTCAACTTTTCTAAAACTTAAATTTGAAATTTTTTAAAATTCAATCTATAATAATTATTAATTTAACATTCTAAAATATAGAAAAGTTTGCTTATCAATAATTGCAAAAAAAACTAATTGATATTAATGCAAAATACGATTTTTTAAAAATTTATTTTCTAAAAAAAGAAATTTTATTTATTTTTATATACATTATTTATTATTCTAAAATTAATTTTTATAAATTTCGTATCACTTTTGTTCTAATTAGTTCAAATTTTTAATAATTCTTATTTGTTTTGTTATAATATTATTGCAAAAAAATTTTTAAATTGATTTATTTTTCACTATTCTATAGGATGTGAAATTTTTTCTCATTGAAATTTTTTTGACAAGTTTAATTAAAATTATATTTTGTTTAATTATTGTTAGAAATAGAAAGAATTTAAAATTAAATTTAATATTTTCTTTTTCTAAATCTGTTACGTTGGACAGCAAAATTCATAATTTTCTTATAAATTCTAGAAATTGAATATTTTTATAGTACTTTTTATAAAATTCTCTGACAAAATATAAATAGATTTTATAGAAGATCGTTCAATTTTTTTTAATGAAATATAGTTAATACCTAAGTCTTGAAATAAATATTTTTATTTTTTCTCACAAAATAATGTGTGTTTTTAAAAAAAAATCCAAAATCCCGGTCAAGTTCAAACTTCATTGTCATTTCCCGGTTTTCCCGGTTTCCCGGTCCAGCGGCCACCCTGATTATAGTTATTTTTCACATTATAAAAATCAAAATAACTTGTACTTTTTTTTTACTAAAAATTGTGGTATTTTGTCGCAATTATTTTAAATGAGTCGAAAAAAGTCACAATTTTCTTAATTTCCCCGACAAAATTTTTTCCTGACATTTCCCTTACTTTACTGACATTCTTGCTTTGAAATATGTTCAAAAATAATCTTTTTTATTTTTTAACATACATGAGTAAAAAAAACTTATTTTTTTAATTTGCAATATCCACGTGGACAATTGTATAGGGGGGAGGGGGTTTGACAAATGTCCACGACTGTCCACAACGGGGGGCGGGGGGTCAAAAATTGGTGAAACATTGTCCACGTGGTTTATGGACGGCCCCAGTCAATTGCTTGACCCCCCTCCCCTTCAAGAGGTTACATGGTTTATGAATGGCCCCTTAGTGTTAAGACACGAAAATATAATGAATGTTTTAACGTTTAACATATTTCTTAGAATTGTTAAAATTTCGACATCCATTCTTACATTTGTGGAACGCTATCAGATTTAATTTTCTAAATATTATTAAAAAAAAGAATGAAATTAGTGTCAAAAATACTTAATTGAAGTATTATTGTTTCTGTTTGACGATAACTGTTACTATTTAGAACTATGATACAAACCTTTTTAAAAAAACGGTTTATGAGAAATAGTATTCAATATTATGATTTGTTTATTTTATGAAGTAGACAGAAAATTTTCCAATAATTGTTAAGTAATTACTATATAAGACTATGTAAAAATTATGCATAATTTGTTAATTTTTTTTTAAATGATATTGAATGCATTGGGTACTATTAATTAAAATTATTGCAAAATTTATTTATTTTCTTACATTTTTTTTAAGATAATCAGGGTTCTTATGTTATGGCAGTTGCGCCCAGCAAGTATTCACGCGCGTTTACGCGCGTTTGTTTTAGCTAGTTTTTTAAATAATTGAATTCTTTTTGGGAAATTTTATTAATATAGTAAATATTGAAAAAAATTGAAATTAGGACAAGATAATTACGATTTTTAGAAGAATTTTCTTCAAATTTTGAACATATAGTTGAATTTTATTTTTTTTAAATAATTGAATTTCTGCAATTATTTGTAATTTCTGAAAAAATAAATTTTTTTAGTGTTTTCAGCAAAAATTTAAATTAGAAAATTTTTAAATTCTATTATTTTTAAAATTGATAATTTTATTTAAAAAGGGCAGTAAGAAGTTAGCCGCGCCTATATGATTTGAACAACAGAGGTTATGTTCTCATCACAGTGTTCATAATATAAGTTGGTAGCATGAAGCTACAACACATATTCCACTTGTTTATTTTTCTAACTAATTTTAAATTATATATTATTTTGGAAATAAAAAAAATGCCAGGTGCAGTCAAATTTGACTGCATATTCGTTGGGGGGAAAAGTAGTTCATAACATGTACCGTCAACTGGGTCTATTTTGTGTACGCGAATTTTTTAATGAAAAAATTATTAAAATGAATTATTTCAATCTGCTATTTTGAAAAATGAAAGTTTGATGACATGACAATAGAGAGCACTAAATGTTATTATTTCAGTTAAGAGAAAAAAATTCATAAAAACGGAAAATTTGTTTAAAAAATTTTGAAAGTTCGGGAAAATTATAGCAGATCTTCTACAGTTTTAATGTGTCTCATAAACTGAGTTAGATATTTGTTGTCAATTGTGTTGTGATGATACATACGTAATGCGCTAACTTTTTATTCATTATTTTAAGAGAAAAGTGGAAAAAACTGAAAAACCAGGATTCCATGGGGCTATTTTGTGCACTTAAAAAAATCAAATATTTTTCATAAATGTTTTATTTACACAAAAGATTTCATGAAGCAGAAACGATTAAAAAAAATGTTTATGCAACATTATAGAAAAACAAAGTTCGATGCACAAAATAGCCCCATCCCGGGAGTTATTGTGTGTACGACTTTCAATGCCTATAGCTAAGACAAAAAAATTTTTTTCTTTGCCAAATTTATAGGAAACCTTTAGAAGGATGTCCACAACATATGTCAAAAGTTGATTTTCTTTATTCTTTTAATTCTGAATTTAAAATTCTTTTATTTCTGAATTTTTAATTTTTTTTCTTTGAGTCAAAAAAAGCTATTTGGTGCACAAAATAGCCCCGGTTGACAGTATGACTGATGGTGCCCGAAAAGTAGGTAAAGTGGACGCCAGTGAAGTTCACAACGTTTATGATCAACGATTAAAAAAAAATTATTTTCCTACGAAAAAGAATAAAATTTTTTGTTCACAAATATATTTCTTTTGTAAATCATTATTCAAAAAACTAACCAAAATATTTTCTATACAAAAATTAATAAAAATTTGCTTAAAAACATATTTTTCTTAAGAAATTGTTGATTATAAACGTTGTGAACTTCACCAACGTTAAAGTGGGCGAAGGGCCCGGGAGCGAGATTTCGACGCCGAGCAGGTATACAGGAGTGAGTTGACGGCGAAAAGTAGACTGCCCTTAAGAAAACAATTTCTTCTTATAAATAAATTTCTCTTCATATTGTAAAAAAGTAGTTTTTTAAAATAATAAAGACGAATATTTGTTTATAAAAATTTTAATTGATTTTTTTATAATTACTGGTTTTGCAAATCTTTAGAAACTGAAATTTTTTTTTAATAACCTTCTCAAAATTTTTGTTTTTAGAAAATGGGTCAAAATTAATGTTTTCACTTGTTTAAACTGATGTAATTTATTTCATTTAAAACGTGTATTGGTGATAACACTATTATTTTCTGCTTAATTCAATAAAGTCTTAAATATAATAATTGCAAATACTTTTTATATTAATATTAAAAAAAATTATTGGCCTCGCCGCATTTCTTCCGTTAACTCCTTCAGACACTCTGAAATATTACCAAGAATCACATTTTTCCGCTCTTCAATTTTAAGCTTCGATTCCTTTAATTTAATTATATCGTTTAACTTTTTTATTTTTAGTTCTTGATACGCATTGAGATGGCTTCTTCTTCGTAACATGATACCTATAATTTTTTAGAATATGTAAATAAAATGAAATGTACACTACTACTGGTAATTGTGCGACCACCTCTTTTTGCACGGAGAAAAATATAGCCAGAAATTGTTGATTTTTTCTATCATTATTTAAGATCTTAAAAAATCAGCAATGAAAATTGTGTGTAGTTTAAATTATTTTTTTAATCTTGATCTTTATTTTTATTTATTATTTTTTTTTGATTTTTCGAAAATTTGAAATTTGAAATACCGAAATAATAAAAATTTTACAAGAGAATTATTGACCATCGAAAAAGAAGGAAAATATAGATGAGTTGAAATTTCACCAGTACCTCTCCTTAAAAATTGGAGTTTTTAAAAATATCTATCTGAAAAATTACCACATTTTTTCTTTAAGGTGTCATTTTTTTGAAATTTTATCAATTTTTGGGCAATTAAAAAGAAAAATTTTTAGATTAAACATTTTGTAAGTTTAAAGTTATTTTTCAACTATCCGCAAAGAGGTATTCGCATAAAAAATTAACGTTATTCAAATTTTAATTAATTCTAACTTTAAGCACTTATTAACTTTTAAGAGAAATACTTTTTTCAAAAAAAAATGTCTAGGTTTTTGCATATTTACTTCTTAATTTATTGATTGGTAGATTTTTTCCAAGAGAAGCCTTTTTGTCGGAACACTGCACTTTGCTGGAGGATGATTCTTCTTCGTCTGACTCAGAAACCAAAATCACATCTGCATTTTATTGATATAATGTTAATAATAAATAAAGGTAGTAAATAGAAAATTGACAAATATGTCAAAAACAGAGGAAGAAGGAAACAAATTAGAATATTAATAAATAATGTATGTACTTATCAGAAAAAATAAAAATATTTAATAGAAAACAAAATGAAAATTTACCTTCAGAAGCATCCTTTTTCGAGTTCTCTTTCGTTGTAGTTGATTTATTTTTTTTGTTGCTTCTCGTCTGTAAAATAATATGTAAAGTTTAATTTTTTTATTCTATAATGAAAATATATTAATTATAAATATACTAGTCCATATGTGTGATGTAAAAAAATGTGTAAGAGAAGTGAGATAAAGCTATAGTGAGGGCAAAAGAAACGTGAATGAGGTTAGCGATCACGTTAATGATTTTGTAACAAAAACATATGGATTATAATTATTCATAATTTAAGTAAATTGTATTTAGATTCTTGAATACTGTTTTGAACAGGAAAAGTAAATAATAAATATATAAATAATTGTACTAACGCTTATTTGAGGCATTTCTTCTGCTGCGGATTGAAGGTTAAAATTCTTAAGAGCATCTACTTCCCATTTTTCTTGGGGTGGTAAAGTTAAATCAACCTTTAAGACCAAAGATCGAAGTTGATCATCTAGGAAATCAAACTCAACTGGAATTGGTGATCCACCTCCAGTTTGAGTTTGATTTTTTTTCTCATTTCGAATCTTGGTCTTCACATCTTTATTCCAATCCATCCATATCTAAAATTAATTTAATAGAATGTAGGTTAATTTATTCGATTCTTACATAGGACAATATTTTTTAAGAAAACAATTTTTAAATTGGACAAAACCAGAGGTTAGGGGCCGTCCATAAACTACGTTACCATTTCGTTACCATTTCGTTACGTGTAAAGATTTCAATTTTTGGACCCTCTCCCACCCTAAATTGGTAACGTAGTTTATGGATGAACCCTTACATTTGAAAAAAAAATTTTTAATTTTTAAAATATCTTTAAATTTTGATTGAATAAATTTATCTTAAGTAAATTAAGACTACATTTCCTTGGCACCAATAAAATTTTGTTGTCTCAACTTAATTTTTTGTTTGATATAGAAGCAATAAAATCATTTTATTGAAAATACTAAAAATAATATTTTTTCTAAGGTTATTAATTTTGAATAGATAGAAAATTAAGTAAGCAATAAATTATAAAATAATCATGAGCTTACCTTTTCCCATTCTTCAAGTTTATTTTGAACACCATTTCTTTCCAAGTTTAAAAGCGTACTGAGAATTTGCCACTTCTTCTTGTGGATAGCTTTACTACATTTAGAATTAAAAAGATCCTGATTATTTTTCATGAATCGAATCATCATTACTTTTTGATAATTGGAAATCTTCTCCATATCGTAAACCTTTAAACTTCTTTTTGACATTTATTTAATTTACATAAAGATATCAATTGAATATGAACATGCACTTTAAATAACATGTCATTTGTTTCTTATAACTACTGCGATTCCATTGCTTGACTATAGGGGCAGTCTATGCGAAACGGACAACCAGAAATTTCTAATGGAAAATACTTATTTTTTAAAATGCATGAAATAAAAAAATGACGGTTCATTCTTATAGTAAATTTAATTGTCATTAATTTGGCTATTTTTAATCCTAAAATTGTATGAATTTTCATTTAAAAAAATTAAAAACGAAAGTTTTGTGTTTATTTTTATAGACCTTCGACCATTTAAAAAAATTTCATCTCTTCAAATAAAAAACTGTGGGCGCTAAGGTGAAATACACGCTTTTTTGACAAAATTTTTAATAACTTTGAGTTTTTCGCTGAAAAAAATAAGATAAAATCCAATCACGTTGGGTGTATTTTTCCTGAAATCTACACACGAAAATACATAAAATAAGCAAAACTGCAGTCCACTAGGCCAAGGATTGTGAAAACCAGGGGGGTATACACTTTTTTTCTAAAACGAAAAAAATAGTTTTTCGCAAAAAAAATGAAGATGAACTCCAATAATTTTTTCTGTATGTTGGTTGAAATCTACACGTAAAAATAAATAAAAGTGTATAACGCCAGTCCTCTAGATTAAGAATTGTGAGAACCAGCAAGGGTTAAAGTATTTTCGAGCTTGCAAAAAGAAATTTTAGTTTTTCGATGTAAACACCATGAAGATCAATTCTAATCACTTCCGCTATATTTTTCCTGTAATCTACACGAAAAAATACATAAGTATGCCAATTTACATCTGTAAGTAAAAAACTGTGGACGCCAGGGGGGGTACATGGTCATTTTCCGTAACCCTTTCAATAGGGTTCCTACCGGATACGGAACCCTAAAGAGTAATATTTATTAGAATTTAACAAAAAAAACATCTATATTGTAAAATATCGATATATCGATAGTGAAACATCGATAGTAGTATATACTCAAAACAAAAATATCGATTCTTCTGCGAGAAACTTTTAAAATGCATAATATAATATTTGTAAATAGTTGAATGAAACGGCGTAGCACCTTGTAAGCCCCTCACTTAGGTACCCCATTCTGCCTCACACTGCATATTAAATCAAAATGTAATGTTTCCAAGTTAATATAAACAAAAATTTAGCAATTTATCCTATTGAAAATTATTCTAGAATAAGTGCTGAAAAAGATCCCCACTTGACAAATTAAATGCATTATCCCAAAAAGATTTGTAAGCACTTTATATAATGTCGAACCTATTGTCCGTTGGACTTTATTGAGAAACCGTTTTAGTTCCTAATCTCTCCACAGTAAAGAAGGCGTTATATAGCATTAGCAATTTTCAGTGCCGTATATTTCATTAAGAAATTTTTTAGGGGGATGTGATACCTAAAGGATTGAAATTGGAGTAATTTGAGGCTAAGACACTTTTTTATTTAAGCCACGGCCACTAGCGCGAATTGGCGCAACCTCCTTGACCACTGACACATCTCACTTTCACCAGAAATGCAACTTTTTAATTTTATTTTTCAATACTTATTTTCAAAATTACTTGAAAATTTCGAGGAGATTTTTTATTAGCACGAATTTCCCTAATTATCCTGATAAATCCGAACTCGATAAGAATCTCAACTTATTTAGCATTAAAGAAAAACTCAAATATTTAAATAAAATTTAATGTATTGAAATTTATTAAAATATATATCCGGGCTAATTTTTGACTGTTTCGGACTAATTCCGGATTCACTAGTTGTATACAAACCGTATAACTTGACAATAAACCGCACTATTTCGGATAAATTCTGGATTCACTAGTTAAAATTCACTGATTATTTCGGACTTCATCGGACCAACTCCGGTTTGACTAGTTGTTCACAAACCTTATAGAGTTCGGATTTTCCCGGATTAATTTCGGGTGACCAAAACCTGACCATAAACCGCATTGTTTCGGACAAATTTCGGATTAGTCCGAAATCTGTCCGGTTTCTTAACTAGGGTTCAAACTATAGTATAGAATTTATTCTTTTATTCTATTGTACCACTATTCAAAAACAAAAGTAAAATACTAGTTTAAAATATTAAAAATTAAGAGAATTGCAATTTCTTTCAAAATTATGTTGCTGTATAAGAAAATCTTACTCATATATTTCTAAAATCTTATTATATACTTATCGTTAATGTTTTCTCCACGAGGAAGCAAATTTTTTTTGCTGATCGTAAAAACGAAGCAAAATGGTCATGTAATGAACATCTGGATTTACAACTTGTTTTAAATTGTAGATTTCACCTGCGGACATAAAGTGAGAGTACTTTGTGATACATTAATAAAGTTTAACTGGATTTTTTTGGATTTTTAATGTTGCAAAAAAACGTTTTTTGCCCATAACTTTAAAAAAATGTTAGGACACCTACAAATGTTTTTCCATAATTTTGTAGAGTTTTTTTACTAGGCCAGTCGGTGAGTGCAAAAAGTGCACAAAAGTGCAACTGGAAAAGTCTCAATAGTTTCTTGTAGTTTGGGGGCCCCATATAAGAGCCCCATGGTTTGCTCTCGATTTCCGGTTGCAAAAAATAGTGTAAACAATCGTCAAAGTTCGAGAAACGTAGTTTTTCGATGACCCTTGCTTCCGGTTAAATTTTAGAGGAAAAAGTTGTTATTGAAAGTTGTAGAGCCTAAAAATACCTTTCAAATGATTGGTCATACGTTGAAAAAGGTTAATTAGTTTAGTTGCAAATGAATTTAAACCATTAAAAATAGCACTTTTTTAATTGTTTAATAACTTTGTTAATAATTATTGAATTTGTTTACAACTCACCAGGAATATTCTCCTTGCGAAGCTGAATAAATTAAAAAAAAAGTCAACTCGATCGGACAAATAGTTTATGTTTTATTCCATTTGTTAACTAAAAACATGAAATTTTTCAACAGAATTTCCCCACTTTTGGACCTGCGAATTTCGTTTTTTTTTTCGAGAGTACAGTTTAGGAGTCAAACTTTGATTCCATTTAAATGGGAAATTGATTTTTCTTATCTAAGTGCATAATAATAGACGTTAAAAAAGGGTATGTTTTTTTGACATAAACAAATGGAATAACTCAGTCAATTTTCACTTTATCGATTTGGTGTAAAGGGATTTAAATTTCATTCGTTTTCACAAAACTTTTCCAAAAAAAATCCGACCTAGCTTCAAGGAGGGGGGAGTTAGTTTATTTTTTTCAAAAAATTCCTGACTAGTTAATTATCAATATTTTTAATTGCAATTCATACCACTTATAGTTCAATGTATGTATTTTATGAAAAAAAATTGGACATAAGGTTTTGTGCATTTATTTTTAATTTATATCAAGTAAAAGTAAATGTATCCATTTTTCAACCTCTGAACGGCGGAGTGGGGGTACTCGGAGGAGCGTGATTCTCGCCGCCACAACTGAATTTAGCTGTTCAAATTTGCAAAAATGGTCATAACTTCGTTAATTATTTACCGATTTTTATCTTTCTTTTTTTAATTTGATGTATTTTTTTACGCTGAATCCAAAAATAATTTTATATGTTTTCAAAATACAATATTTTTAATAATAAGAAAGAAAAAATTTTTAACAACAAATTTTTAATTATTATTTATCATATTTGACAAAAAATTCTTTTCGTACATATAATTCCATTGAATTTAAAATAATATTATGACATAAAAAAATTAAAATTAATTATATATAAGTGTGTAGCATCGTTGTATTGATAGTTGAACAGGCTTATTTCATAAGTTTAAATTAATTCCAAGGTATATAAATGCAAAGTAAAATATAAATATGTTTAATAAAATAATTAATTATTTTTTTTAATTATATTTACTTTTCCTCTTTTATTGGATAATAAGAATTTGATTAAGAATTTCAAATAATTATGATACACAGTGTAAATCTAATATAATTATCCTAGTCAATTTGACTATTTTTTTCTGATTACATCGACTAATTTTCCTGGTCACTTTAACTATGCTTGAATTTTATTACTTTGACTAGGATTCTATAGTTGGCTCCTCTCGTAACTAGGAAACCTAGTCAATTCCTGGTATACGGGTCCTAGGCATTTTTTTCGGTGTGCGGCCATAATAACAATCCTGCATTTTGATGTCATTTTGCCCGCAGCAACTGAAGCACATTTTATTTTACATGCATGTTTTAGTTTCTGCGGCAAGCAGAATTAAAAATTAAATAATTAAAGTAATTTTATTTTAAATGTATATCTTTATAGACAATTGTATCAAGTATTTTTCAAAATAATTTTTTCAACATTTTTTAAACATTAATATTTTAAGTGATAAATAATAATCACACATTTCACAAACTGAAGCACCTGCAGCAATTGGCGCATTTACCCTATCAAAAAAAAAATTTTTAGTTCTAGTGAAGTGTGACATTTTGATTTATTTTCTCATTTTACTCACTATTATTTTGTTTCTTTGTTCTACTTAACAAGAAAATTTTACCCGACATTATTTCAGGGTGCGTCACACAGGAAAAAAAGTCTGACTCCGTTTACACCTTAAATTCAGCCCTTGTATTTCACATAAGTTTGTCCTTGTTTAATGCACTGAGAAAAATGGATATTAAGCCTTATCTAGATATTAATGGCCAATATCTGTGACAGTAAACTATGTAAACTTCTTAGATGTTCAAATTTAATATCTAAGATAATGGAAAAAGACTTGTTCAAACATAACATTACATTTACAGATTATACTTTTTAACATCTGATATATTAAACCATAACATCTGGATGATATGCATTAGCATATTCTATTAAGAGTTTTAATATCCAGTTTTCTTAGTGTGGGGCTGACTCCGTTTACACCTTAAATTCAGCCTCGAAAACAGGCTAAAAGTAAAACTTTTTTTCAGTGTGCACGGTGAAAAACTAAAAAAACCCTACCCGGTTCATTTTTATGTATAGTAGGGGAGGATTGGGCAAGGACAGTTAGGTAAGACCTTTACAATATATCCAAAGCTCATGAATATGCTTAGGGGCCGTTAAGTGTGCAAAAACTGCCCCCACATCTATTTTTCTCAAATTTGGCCCATATAT